TATTCGTACGCCGCTTATGACGCTTACAAAAGTAGAAAGTAGATCTACTTTAAGCATTATACGCGTCAAGGCATCCTACGCTTTTGTGCTTGTAATTTCTAGCACACAACAACATTGATTCAACTTTTTTGACAGCCGCGTAGAATGCGAAGAAGCGTAGAACGCGTGGTGTGGACCTCCAGCTTTTGCCAGCAAAATAATATATGTTTGTAATGTAAACTAAGAACACGTGTGCGGCTCACTCAGCACATGCCATTGATATTCATATGTAAGTATGTATGAACTTGTAACTGCATATACAAGACGGTAGACTGTTAGCCAGAATAACTGACAGGCAGCCAGGAATATAGACATAATTTGGTCAAAGTTTATAATTTTCAAACACAAATGCTTTTTGAAGTGCAGATTGCATGTGTTTTTAAAATATAGTAATTTTCCAACTATGTTGTATTTTCTCAAGTTTTAGACAGTTTTATAGTTTAGCTGAAATGGTATTCTTTAAATGTTTGTATGCAGATGTTCATACATACATACATATGTATATTTGGTTCAGAAAATGTTGAAAAAAATGCAATTACAATATTTTTGAACATAATTATATGTTCATAAAGTAATTCATATTTAATGAAATGTAAAGTAAGTGCAAATCATAACTAAAATATAAAAGATCTTGTTGTTTTTATGAACAATTCTATCTTCCATATAAATTTACATTCAATCAGGATATTTAGGTTGCATCAAGCTTTGAAAATTAAAATTTTGAAATAGTACTTACTACCCAGCAAAAACTGTCCTAGACTATAGTCTAGTCTGTTGTCTAGTCTAGTATATAGTCTAGTTTATTATCTAGTCAATAGTCTAGTCTACAGTCTAGTCAATAGTCTAGTCTATAGTTTAGTCTAGTCTATAGTCTACACTATAGTCTAGTCTACAGTCTAGTCTACAGTCTATTCTATAGTCTATTCTACAAATGTAATATAAAATTTACCAATTTTATATAAAGGTACTTACTATTGTTCTAACTCTGTATTTTAGAGTAATTTTGTTATTAACTGATTTACAACTCTACATTAAATCAATCACAATAAAAGTTCGTTAAAAATTTTAAATTTAAAAACAAAACAAATGCTAATTTAATACGTAAAAAATCAAATATTTTTGATATCCTTATTAAAATATTCTTATAATGTTTATGTTAACATATATCTTTTTTGTTTAAATTCAAACTTTTATTTATAATAAATAGCTTTTTTAACCATTTAAAACTCTCTGTCTGCTCTCTTACATCAACCACTGTGAATACCTAATAAAATAAATATTATTGTGAATGACTTTAATTTTTTACACTGTCAGCGATTGTAAATGGTATAGAAACGTGAAACGACAAGAATGACAAATGAAAAAGAAGACAAAGAAATGGCTGCTACACTTTCCTGTGCCGATAAAATTAAAATCAGACGCCGTCGAAAATTGTACGGCTTAAAATAATCTGATCTGTTCCTTAAATCGAATAAATGGCTGTTTTGTGTTCTGCACATTAATCGGTTTGATCAGTCAGCTAATTGAAAAAATAAGAATATTCTAAATTAAGTCAACATTGTGTAAAAAGACTTAAAAGCTATTTTTATTTATTTAACATTTTTTTAATCTCAGATCAAAACTATGAAAGAAACTTCAAATTTTATATAGGTACAGTTTTTCATGTTCTCGGTAATTTATAAGACCCTCAAAGTTGATAACCTTGGGTATTATTATACCCTACACCACTTTAGTGGGGAGGGTATATTGGATTTGTGCTGATGTTTGTAACGCACAATAATATTGGTCCTATACGCACCTTAAAGTATACCAATCGGCTCAGAAACATTTTCTGAGTCGATTTAGCTATGTCCGTCTGTCCGTCCGTCCGTCTGTCCGTCCGTCCATGTAAACCTTGTAATCAAACTACAGGTCGCAATTTTGATGATAATTCAATGAAATTTGGTACATGATCTTCTATTGTCTCAGGGACGAAAATGGTTAAGATCGGTCCATTATTTCACCTAGCCCCCATACAACTGAACCCCCCAATAGGGCTTGTAATCCTTGTAATCAAACTACAGGTCGCAATTTTGGAGATAATTAAATGAAATTTGGCACATGATCTTTTATGGTATCGTAGACGAAGCCTATTGAAAATGGTTAACATCGGTCCATTATTTCACCTAGCCCCCATACAACTGAACCCCTCAAATAGGGCTTTTAAAACTTGTAATCAAACTACAGGTCGCAATTTTGAAGATAATTCAATGAAATTTGGCACATGATCTTTTATGGTATCGTAGACGAAGCCTATTGAAAATAGTTAACATCGGTCCATTATTTCACCTAGCCCCCATACAACTGAACCCCCGAATAGGGCTTTTAGGTTCATAATTATGTTTAATATACTCATATCTCGACAAAAAGCTGCAAAAACCAATTTGTATACAAGACTTGATGACCCCCACGAATTCCATAATAATAGGTTCTCATATAACCCTAGCCCCTATGAAAAGCCCCCATCAAAATTTCACTTAAACGTCCACAATTTTATTCAACAATAAACGGCTTAAGTATATATATCTAAGGTAAGGTACAATTCAACTTAAATGCTTTATTATGGCAACTAAAACACATTATATTTTTGTCAAAGGTGTAGGGTATTATATGGTCGGCCTCGCCCGACTATAATTTCTTACTTGTTTTTTTTTTTTTCTTAAATCGCTACAAGTCCATTTATGATCGAAATAAGCTGAAATTTCAAATATAACTACTCCTTGAGAAGATCTATGTGTGTTATCTCTTATGTGTGTTATCTCTTTTGCTTTAAGAGATGTTTAGGTTTAATTTTTTTTATTAAATTTTCCCGATCTATTTTTAGTTTTGTAAATGTGGCGGGCCTACGGATGGCCGTAAAATTTTTAAAAATATCCTCTAGTTTTCTGACAAAATTAAATAAAACAAAATAAGCTTCTCAACAGACAGCTCAATACATTGGAATAGTTTACTCTGGGTTAAATAATTTTAATAACTTTTAATATCGTTGAACATTTTCAAAACATGTCCGAAGACTTTGCTGGCATATTGCTGGTTTCAAGACGCCGTTGAAATAATAGTGTCAGCCAGCTAGCTCGATAATAATTGTCGGCGCAGGTCTCTGATGATGGCTGCTGCACAGAGAACTGCGTCGATTCGGCTTTAAGCCGACTAAGCCTAGCCGCCGAACAAAATGTCAAAGACGTCGCCGCCGAAAAATTTTCAGCTTAATACGGCTTAAAAATTTCGCCATATATTTTGTATAATTTATGGAATTTTACAATATATAATTAATTTGTTTTCATTTAAGCAAGTTTTCTTCATAATAAGCCGCTCATTGAAATTTGGCGGTGTAAAACTTTGCTCAACGTTCGATTTATATGCTTCGCCACAGATATTATTGTGTTACGCGCCTAATTCGAGTCGCTGCTTTTACTTCAAACAAAAAAGTGTTTGCTACAAACACGAGATACGAAAAATACATTGCTGTTTGACAACCCGTAACAGACTAGGACATCGAACAGTTTAAATTTGAAGTGCAGTTGATGTCAATTCTGCCGACTGCGAAAGGAAATTCTGATAAAATTTTTTCGTGCCAAACTGTTTTCTGCTTTAAAAAAATAATTTTTTAATAACTATTGAACTTAGAAATTAATAAAATTGTATGCTATATATACTATGCCGAGGGTCATTGTGCAAAGAAACAGGCAAGTGTTGTGTTTAATTATGTTAAATTTTTAATAACTATGATGAAAATGTTTTTCCAGGCGTAGTTTGTTTTCGTTTAATACCCAAAAGTGTTTTTTGAAATTTACCGGATTTTCCTACTACACCCGAAATATGGAATATGAATTAAGATTGTGTGGTATGCCTTTCAGTCATGCTCTGGTTGTCTCAAACACTATAGTGGCCAAATATTTACAAGAAACAATTGTTAAGCCGCCTTTTATACAAATTTGTCGCACTGTAGAAAATGTCTTCACGGACCTAGAAGATATAACCTGTACCTATTTTTTGTACTTTTTTCATAAAACATTGTTTTTGGTTTATTAAGTAACTTAATAATAACATAATTTAAGTTATATACATATATGTATTATGTATGATGAATACATAATAACGGGATCCCACTACGATGTTGCAACTTTTTGGAATACAATTTTTATTTCGTAATGGGGAGGAAAAAAATGGGGAGGAAAAATTGAGTTTTCTATGATATTCAAATCGAAACATGAATATAATAATAAAGAGACTTTTAGGTACATTTTCGTTCTTCACTGGTACTTTTTTGAGTTTTTTTTTAATTATACCTAGAAACATGACAAAAATGATTAACAAAAAACATAATTTTTTATTTGTTAATTGTGATGGATATACAAAAGTTTCCATCACTTTTTACATATTACCCTTTAAGGTGGAAGTACACAACACGGTTGTGGCGGCAAAACGTTTTATGCTTTTCAAACTTTTCACACTTTATAAGCTGCAAGTTACACACGGCGCGTCATTTTGATCATTCTTTTAATGTTTTTTAAGACTATTACTGTTGAAAAAATCAAAATTTTTGTTTATATTTTTAATATTTTCCTTTTATTGTTATTTAATTTTAGTTTATTCAGACCTGATCGGCTGCCGACGCGTCAAAAGTTGAAAGTTGTTGAAATTTTCGCGGCAGACGCGTTACAAAATACAATGTGTGACTATACACTATTTCAACTTTTTTGACAGAATCCTATAACGCCTTGCCGCATACAACGCGTGTTGTGTACTTCCACCTTAAATTTTTTCCATCCCTGCATAATTTCTCATACAACTTGCTCTATTTTGCTGTTATATTCCGTTTTTATTTAAAATCTTTCAAAATTTAAAAATTAAGCAAGCGAATTTGATAACTTAGTCGGCTTACTGTCGATTTTAAGGCGCCGTCGATATTTTTAGTGTCAGCCGCCGTCGTCGTTAATATTTGTCGGCGCAGGGCTCTTCAGCATGCACTTTTTTTCGTATTGTACGCGGATTTGTCAAACGAGAATTATTGACAAAAAAGTGAATTAATTATTAGTTAATTAAATATAAATTATTTAACAAAGTATTAAAAAGGTATTAATAAAAATATAATTAAAGAAATTGTCATTTAAAGAATAAATTGTGTAGTTAATAAAGGAAATTTAACAAAAAAAAAAAAAAAAATTCCTAGAGCAAACGCCATTAAAGAATAGAAGAAAAAGCAAAAAAAGTGCATGAAGTGTGGAAAAATCGGTGAAGAAAAAAACGAATATGATTAACTAGAATTACAAAGAAGTAAAAATTAAAGTTTTTTTTTATAAATATTTAAAATAGTTTAATAGAGAACAAAAGTTATAATCATTGTAAATAAAAGTGTTTTAAATAAAAGAAAGGTAAAAATCAAAAATATTTAAAAAAAATAAAGATAAAATAATGAGAAAAAATTCCAGAATAAAAGGAAAATTAGTTTCCTTTATATAAAAAAATAAATTCTAATAAGAATTTTTAATTTCTGTTTGGATTTTATGTTAAAAAGTATTTAAATGTGTTTGGAATTCCTTTTTGGTGCCATGAGTCTTGTATAGAAACTCCTTTTTTATTCTTTTTCTTATTCTACGCCCCCTTCTTCCTCTCCAGTATCGTTTTTTTTTTTGTGTGTGTTAAACAGCTGTCATTGTATGTTCATTTGATTGTTGTTGCTGTTGTTTTGTTGGAATCGTGTGTGTTGTGTTTGTTCGTTTGGAGAGAGTGTTGTCAACCCATTTTAAATTGATTTTTCCCTATTGCTTTTGTGTTCAATGCTTATTCCATTTAGTTCATATTGGAAAATATTTTCCTCAATAAAATTTGTGTAAATTAAAAATTTAATAGCAACTACAAAAAAATCTATAAAAATTTAAAATAACAACAACAATAAAAAAAATCAAACAGTTCCTCTAAGTTTTTTGTTGATTTTTTTTTTATTTGGTGTACCACCCACACGTAAGTTCACCGTACGTATGTACATACATACCTACAGTACGTTTTTCTTTAACCATCCGCTATTTTTGACATTTGTCATCATAGTTTTTTTGTCTGTTCATTTGCTATTGTTATTGTTGCTAATAGTGCGTTCATATGTTTGTTTGAGTACCTATTTGGCGTATGAAAATATTTAAGATTCTTCTAGTTATACTTTTACCTTTACTTACTGTTTGTTGCCATTTATAGGTTTCCCATACATCCGTCCGAAAAATGTCTGTTATATTATATTCCGTCTGACGACAATGACGGCTTGAAGTTCCGGTAAAATTTTTTTTATCATGTCAAAGACAATAAACAGCAATAGCAACAACTTTTAACAATTTTTATTTGTTTAAGTAAGACAGATAAGGGTGTTGTTGTTGCTACTTAAAAAGGGGGGACTATGCAGGGAATTCAAGTAAATTGCTCCAACTGTTCAAATTTAAAGATAAGATATCATGCATTTTTCCACTATGTGATTTTTAGTCATTAGTTTGTTAATTTAATATAATGTCAACAATAGGACATTTTTTAATTATATAGGTAATAACGTTTCAAATACTAATGAAATAACAGAATAACAATAAGCAGCTCACTTGGAATTATTAAGTCTTGGAGCCCGTAGGAGTATTTAATAGTATCTCTCATTAATTCCAAAATTAAACGAACCGGTTTCATTTAGCAAGTTAAGGTTGTGTTAAGATTAATCACAGAGTGTTCCACAATACCTAAGAATAGAGGAACCGAAGTATTGTTGCATACTCTTAGTACAATTCAGCAGCCATTGAACGCGCCCTAAGAAACATGGCAATTGCAAATTCTTAACTATAATGAAAACGTCAAACCTTAAATTAGATTGTAGACTATACTATAAACTGGACTAAAGACTAGAGTATAAATTAGACTATAGACTTGACTCTAGACTAGACTTTGGGCTTGCCTCTAGACTATAGTACCGGCTACACTATACACAAGACTAGACAATAGACCAGATAACAAAGAATGCTATAGACTATAGACAATATTATAACTAGACCATACTGTAGATTTTACTACAGGATAGATTATACACTTGACTATAGACTATATTATAGACTCTGACAACAGATAGGAATAGGACTCTCTTGTCTCTTAGTAAGAACTCGATTAGGCTTCTAACTGGTATAATTACTGGGCACTGTATGATTGGACATATGTATGTCGGAACGTATGGTCTACCCAAATTATAGCTACTGTAGAAGCTGCTTGGACGAAGAAGAAGTGGAATCAATACAACACCTTCTATGTGACTACCCAGCCTTACAAGAGCAAAGACTACTCTATCTTGGTAGAGCTCTTTTCCATGATCTAGACTGTCTCAGAGATGCGTCACTAAAAAACATGATCGGTTTTATTAAAAGCACCGGCTGGTTTACACGGAGACCGAACGAACCAAGTAGTCAACGAAATTAGAGAAGGAAACCATTCTCTCAATATTAGGGAATGGTAATTCTAACTCGCTTGCTAGCGAGCAACCCACGTAACCTTACCTTACCATACTATAGACTAGATTATAGACTATACTATGGACTTGACTATAGACTAAACTAAACACTAAACTACACAAAACGTCAAACACGAAAAATACTTCGAATTCTTGCATTTAAGTGTTGACTTACGAAGCCTAACTTCGATAAACGCTTTTTCATCCGGATTCATAGGAGGAATTCAATATCAATACTCAATGTTGTAACAATGTTGGTGTTTCCCTTTCCTCGATGTCAACCTGGCCCTAAGTAGATAAAGATATTACTCCTTAGTTGGGAATAGATAATAACGTTGCGATCGAAAATCAAATCAAAGTCGAATCTGTAAAAATGTAGCATTTGATATTAGAGAAATATTCTAGAAAAGGAAATTAAAATATTCACAGTTATTTAGATTTCCTAAGAATGTGTATTTTCTAAAATACATATGTATATGATTTTTGAATTTTCGAACACAAATCTATGGTTTTCTGTATAAATCTTTTTCTAACAAAAACAGCACATTAATCCCCTTATAAAATTTATCTAAAATACGCTTCTGTTTTCTTTAAAAAAGACATTTATGTAAAATATAGTAAACAACTATACTAGTAAAATGCATGGATACTTCCGTTTCGAAATAAAAAAATACTTGTGTTGTGGCCCTTATACTGGTGCACTCACTACTGCAACATTTTTTTGTTTTATTTTGTTAGTTTAATTTTATTTTCATGTTTTTTTATTTCTAAACAACCTTAAGTGGGCCCATATTTCTATTCATTATTTTTTCTATTATTATTCATTCATTGCGTCTTTAAAAAATGAAAATAAAAAACATGCTTCTACTACTCAACTATACTACACCCCCCCCCTTACCTCGTTAAACACTAGCAAATTGTGTCTAACTTAAATTGTATACAAGTCTATCCTTCCGCCCAACTTTCTTCTTCTATCTTAGTTTTAACTTAAACGACATTAACCACGTAGTCGTACATGTGCAATGGATAAGCGAAAAAATGTATAAAATAATAATATTTATTTCGCTATTTTTAAATTTATTTTAATTGTTTATTTTCCACATTATATTTTTCTTATGTTTTCTTTTTTTTATATTTTTCTTTTGCTTCTCCAAAGTTTCTTGCAACACACACACGCAGTCTGAACTGCTGCTTAATGCTGAAGACATAAATGTAGAAGAAGAAAAACAATTCAGTGGCAGCAGCAACAGCAATAAGAAAACAACATTTATATTCTTATATCCAAAATAGACAACAGTTTATTACTATACGTTGTTGCACTTGCCTTCTTCGCTTTGCTGCTGCTACATTTTAGTTCCATTTTGTCTGTCCATATAATATTATATGACTTAGTGTCTCTTCGTCTGTCTGTCTGCATGTATGTTGTCGTCTTTTGTGGTGCACCACCTCCTCTTCTATATTACCGGATAGTTGGTGTTTTTATGCGCATAAATATTTTGTTTTTATTATTATTTCTTATTAGTATGTTGAAGCATAAAATCCAGCACCTAAAATTTATTTTTCTTTTAATTAATATAGAAAAGGAATTAATATAATTTAATGCAGTTAGTGGAGTTAAGCTTTCGACAAAAACTTCCGCTATTAATATTCAGAGTTTATTAATTATTTATTAATAGTAGAGGGCCAATGGGACTTAAATTTGTGGACCTACCGCATCAATTAAAGTTTGCACTGCGTATATGGAGTGCAGTGTCCACGGATTTTCCTTTCATATAGGCATGTTATGTCGCAGACAGAAGGTTGGTATCGATATCAATTATTAAAGGATAATTATTCCCAAAGGAGTCGTGGGACTTCGTGTATGAGATCTTATGTTATTTGGGAATGCAGACCACTGGTCCATTAAATTAGTATATATCTTCAGAGACTGCATTATGTGAAGTTCCACTATTTGTTGATATATTGACATTAAATGGATTATAAGGAAACTGCCCATTCTCTTTTCTGAGGAACGACAGCCTGGGAAGGGAGTAGTCATGAGAACTTCTTTTTCACGATAACTAGTCGTCCAACTGCGACATGGTTTTTGTTAAGACTGGGGAAACTCGATAAGATTTTTCTGATATAAGAACCTTCTACGGTGCTACGGAAGTTATCTTAGAATTGAATTTCTTATCGAGTTTTTGAATCTATTTACAGAGATCTTAAATAGTTTCTGGATTCTCTTCGAGAATTCACGATTTTCTCAGACTATTTATCTATCTTTGTCATCTTTTTATTTACAGAAGAACCTTCTACGATACTAAGGAATTTCTCAAGTTACTGTTTTTGTCTCACTCGATTCCACTTGGGATTTCACGTTGTCCTCAGACCATTAAGGTGGATTTTTCTACCTATGTCACATTTTTGTTTACATGACTGTATAGTCGCGTATTCAAACGTACGAATTTGTTTAACTCAAATTTTATGTCCGATCGGTTTTCTATAAGCCCCAAATACTGAAATCAATTCCGTTTGCAGAAAGAAGTCAGTTTTCTTCCTATTTCTGAAGGGTCATACGAATATGATTTAAAAATCGATATATGTATAAATGGTCAGATAATAGGAATTCATTTGAGACGTGTCATCATACTGCCATGATGCATAATGCCATAGCGTCTCACCACATGCATTAATGTCCGAGCTTTCCCAGGCGGTGTGATTAGAATTTGCATCAAACATAATATAATGAGAATCCAATCGTACCATAACCACAGGGGTATAGCTCTTTGTGAATCCACGGTTCCTACACTAGGGCAAGCTCATCCCCACCAATACTCTTTGAAGCGGTGGAGAGTAACTTTGAAGTTACCTGGTATTGTAATCAATCAGTTTTCAAGTTCAAAGGAAACCTCCTTTAACGAAAAA